CCTTGGGGGGGCGGGCGGACACCCGATCTACTTTTTAAACGAAATCCTGCTTCGTGGCTTTACCTACTTCTTCCGACTCGCTGGGGCCCGAGCCGTGTCCACATCGTGCACCGCCCCCCTGCGGCCCCAGAGCAGCGGCTCCCCGGGCGGTGCACTCGGATAATAGCCCCCGCCGCGCACTGGAGTTTGTGGCCCTCCTCCTCCTCCTCCTCCTCCTCCTCCTCCTCCTCCTCCTCCTCCTCCTCCTCCTCCTCCTCCTCTCTCCTCTCTCCTCTCTCCTCTCTCCTCTCTCCTCCTCCTCCTGCCCCTCCTCCTGCCGCCGCCCGGGAGGTGAGCGGGCCGAAGCAGGACGACCTGTTCAAGGCCTACGCGCGCCTCTGCGGCGACGACACGCCCATGGTGCGCCGGCAGGCCGCCAGCGTGCTCGGGGAGGTGGCGTCCGTGGTGCCGCAGGAGCAGGGCTCGTTTCGACTCCCCCGATTCGATTCCGATTCGACTTCGACTTCGATGCCGACTTCGATTCGGTTTCGGCCTCCGATTTCGACTCCGATTCGGATTCGACTTGGGATTCCGATTCGGGCTCCGATTCTCTCAACGCAGGCCGACAAGCTTGCCGATCTCCGCCGATTCGAGTTTTCCCGACTCGGCTGCAGGTTTCCGGCGATCCGATTCAGTTCGATGGCTGATCCGGCTCCTCGATTCGAGTCCGGGCCCTCCTGGCAGGAGTCGATGTTGGCCGAGCTGGTGGAGGTGTTCGAGAAGCTCTGCAGGGACGAGCAGGAGACCGTGCGCGCAGGGCGAGGCACATGCCTCCGGGCACGGAGGGGTGCCGGTGCACCGCCGCGCGTCCCGCGGGAGCCCTCGTCGCCACGGCCAGAGTGGCCTCGAGGTGCGCTGGCCGGAGCGCGCCCCGGGAGGGGTGCGGGCGGCAGCGGTGCCGTTGTTGGCCCGCCTGGGTGCATTCAAGCAGTGGCGAAGCGTCCTGGCTCGCCGACAGCCCCACCAAACAATGTTCTAAGAACCTTTTGGGGTTTCCACGGCATGTTCTTAGAACATGTCTGGCGGAGCCTGTCTTGGTTTATCACATCGGGCTTATGTTCTAAGAATATTGTTCTGGTTTTTTAGAACACTTTGGGGTTCGAAGAACATGTCGTGGTAGGGCTATAGGAATGCCAGGACGGTCGGTCCCTGCTCAGTACATAGCCGACAGGTGCAGACGAGCGACGAAAGACGACGGGGTCGACTGCGCCGACACGGGCTTGTGAGCTGCCCGCGTCAGGTCGCGCGTGAGTGCCCTCGTCTCCCATGCAGCGTGCCGCGGCGGCGGCCCGCGTATGAGCAGCCGCGTGATGGGCACCATGCCATCTCGCGTGAGACCCCTAATTTTTGCTCAGGGCTGGACCTGAACGCTGTTTCGCTGGACTTCGGTTGCGTTTTGCTTTTCAATTTGGCAGGGAGGTACAGGAACACAGGTGGAGCAGAACGAAGCACAGAACGGAAACAACACGAACAACAACTTTTAGTTCCAGCCCTGGTGATCGTTTTTTCGTTGTTTTGTCGATCGGCGCGGACCCTCGCACCCCCCCCCTCACCCCCCCCCTGTAGTGGATCTTGGCTGTTTTTGGCGCCTGGTTTCGACCAGGTGGAGTCCCCCCCATCGGACGCACTGTTCCAAACAGTCGCACTAAGCAGAGGTCTGGAGCCCGATCCCCCCCTGCCCCCCCCCCTCCGCCCAATGTCGAAGCGCCGAATAGTACAACGCTAACCTGATTTTGATCGTCGCTCAGATGTAAGTCCTTGGCCGCTGTCGGCTTGGGGGGCCCTCGCCGTGCCCCGGGGGCTCTCAAGCGACCGGCTCGCGTTCGGGAGAGACTCTGGTGCCCGTGCCGCGTCTCGAGTGTGCAGGTCGGGTGCTCTCCGCGTGGCCGAGCGAGGCTCGCCGGGGCCAGCAGAGCCCCTTCGGTTCCTCGCCCAGCGTTCCTCACTGAGGTCAGGTCGGGCATGTCCCTCGCCGGGAGGAATATAATTACGAGAATAGTAGACAAGTAGTCTGGGGACACGTTGTTGCCAATATTGTTACCTGTGTGTGGAGTATTTCTGGGATTTGTTTTACATATCTTTCTTCTAGAATCCGCCTGTAGGAGGACCTGCCCGACCTAAATGTAAGGAGTCCGTGCGTATCCTCGCCATCTCCAACTGCGTGGCGCTGGGCAGGCTGAAGCGCGGCGCCGAGTGGCAGGCGCAGATATTCCCCGTGGTGGAGTCGTGCGCGCAGGACAAGTCCTGGCGGGTTAGGTGCTCGAGGAAATGCAAGTCGCAGGAGGGGCGGGGAGTAGCGGTGTCGGTACCGTCCTCGGTTTCCTGAGCAAGCATGCAGTCACACACGTGGATTGGCGAGACGGGTCCCGTTTCCGAGCAGAATCGGCACGCCCCGTCGCCCCATCGGGTGGCATTGGCCTCCTATGCCGGGAAGCACCGATCCGTGTATGTGGCGCCCACGTGCCAGATCCTCTCCGATCCATGTTATGCTTCGTGGGGTCCGGAGATATCCCGGGTTATCGGGCTCGCCCGACCCCCCCCCCTTGATACAGTCGGGGCGCTGAAGAAGGAACCCTGTTCGTTGGGGAGGGGCTCGGTGTTCCTTGATTGTTTTACAGTTTGCCATGGGTTTTCCTTCGGTTTTTGCATGGGAAATCGAAGTTGAACTTGTGGAACAAAAGGGGCCTCGTTCCTTATTTAGGGATCCTCAGGTCAACGCCCCCACTGTATCCCGGGTTATCGGGCTCGCCCGACCCCCCCCCCCTTTGATACTCTGATCCTGAGGGTTGCGCAGGTCCGGCGGGGGTGCGCAGTAGTGGTGTTGTCGCGGGCGTGCGCGGGGCTGCCCAAAGAGATCAGGAGGGAAAGAAACACACAGAGACACAATTCATCGTCGATCCCCTAGGAAAATATGGGGGAATATGGGAAGTGGGGGGGAAAGACAAACACCCAGAAAATATAGGAAAACATGGGGAATCTGTTTGTTTGTGTGTGTGTTTATTTGTGTGTGTTCTGGGGCCCCTTTGAAAGAGAAAAGGTTAGGTTTGGGGGGAGAAGCAATGGCACAAACGTAAACTTCTGGAGGTCCGCGCCGATTCCTCGGATTGGCGCTGGACGGCGCCAGAGGCGCCGCTCAGGGGCCCTGGCGCCGATCCGAGGAATCCGCTCGGGGCTCTGATTTTTTATGTCTAGGTCATTGTGCGCTCCCCCAGGGGTATCGGATAGTCAGGGCGATCGTTGAACAGGAAGAACAAACCTGCTCTCTTGTCGCGTGCCCGAGGTACGTGATGGCGGAGCACGTGCACACCCTCTGCGAGGTGTTCCACACGAAGGCCACCCACATCGTGCCCCTGTATCTTCAGCTGCTCCAGGACCAGGAGGTCGAGGTGCGGACCATCGCCGCCGCCCGCATCGCGGGCGTGTCGAAGGTCAAGCCGGACAAGGATCGGGTGCTGCGAGAATCGACTGCAGAAACATGAAGCATGGCCCAACAACAGAAATCGGAGTTCCGCGCGGATGATTCCTCGGATCAGCACTGGGCCCCCTGGCGGCGCCTCTGGCGCCGCCCCTGGCGCGCTCCGCGCGCCAGGGAGGGGGTCCAGAGCTGATCCAAGAGAACCCCTTGGATGTCCAAGAAGTTCTGTGCATGCCTTCTGTTTGTGCCTCTGGAAGCGCCCCTAGCCTCCCCGGGGAGGCGCAGGTGGCTGCCAGGTCGCCCGTGACGAGGCCCTGAGAGCCCCGCAGGGGCTCCAGCATGGCGCGAGGCGCTGGAATCGCCTTGGGCCAGGGCCACTGCTCCTCCTCCTCCTCCTTCCCCTCCTCCACCTCTTCCTCCTCCTGCTAGCAAGCACCCGAGAGGACTTCCTGGAGACTCTAATCCCCGTGATGGAGAAGCTCACCGCGCCGCGAGAGCGGTCGCATCACGTGCGCGCGGCGCTCGCCGGGGCCGTGCTGTCGCTTTCCCCGGTCTTCGGGCCCAGCCTCACGGTGGACTACCTCGTGAACATCTTCCTCCACCTGATCAAGGCCGAGGGGAGGAAACGGTGCCGACATTGCCGCTCGTCTTGGAGCGCGCTCTCCTCGAAGTTCGGGTCGGGGCGCACCCCTGGAAGAAGGCCGTGGAGCGCTGGTGTCGGTGCCTTCTTGCTTCTGCGAGCCTTCGGGGGCGCCCCTCGTCGCTTCGGCTGGACGCTGCTCGGACCACTGGCGCGTCCAGACCCAGGGAGGAGACCGGGGGCCGCTTCTGAGCTGGTCGTGGTCTCGGCTCGCCCTGCGGCCGGGAGGACGAGAGCGCGGACGTGCGGCTGAAGCTGATCGGCACCCTCGGGGAGCTGTCGGCCGTCATGGGCATCGACGTGCTGTCCCAGTCCCTGCTGCCTTGCATCAAGGAGCTCGGCAGGACCTAAATGCTGTGCAGGCTGTGCTGCTGGACTGCGGCTGTGTTTTGTTCTTCGTTTTGGCAGGGAGGTACAGGAAAACAGGTACCGAGCATCACGAACAACAAAGCGAACACAAAACGAAAGCAACATTTGGGTCCAGCCCTGTCAAGGAGCTCGGCAGGGACAGGCAGTGGCGCGTGCGGCTCATGGTCATAGACAGCATGCCCTCCCTGGCGAAGTACCTGGGGCCGGCCAAGTTCACGGAAGAGCTGAGCGGCCTGTTCGTGGCCTGGCTCGAGGACCCCGTCTGCTCCGTGAGGGACGCCATCGCCGTGAACTTCCGCCGCCTCTACGTGGAGTTGGGTATCCGGGTGCCTGCGGCAATCTGTCCGCCACCGTGCTGCGTGCAGGAGGTGCGGGGGCGGGGACGGGGGCGGCGGGGCACGGAGTGAGGCGCGATAGTTAATCAAGTCGGGCATGTCCCTCGACAGGAGGAGAGCGCAAGAATTGTGAACAACAACTAATATGGTGACGACTTGTCGTGCTCTTGTGGTTATGTTTGACTATTGTTTGACAGTTCTGCTTCCTCTTCTGCAGCCCGCCTGCAGGAGGACATGCCCGACCTGACGCTACGGGAAAGGGGTGGGGGGTCACTCGAAGAAGCCTTGCAGACAGCCTAGCAGAAATCCCTCCCTGATAGTCCGCCAGGTGATCGTTTTTTTTTTGTTGTTCCTTGTTTTGCCGATCGGCGGGCCCCAAAACCCCCTCCCCCCCCCCTTCCCTGGAGTGGAACGTGGCTGTTTTTGGGCGCCTGTTTCGAGCAGGCGGGGCCTCCCCCACAGCGGACGCCCTGCGGCAACCAGCCGCACGAAGCAGAGGTCCGGAGCCAGACCCCTGACCCTCCCCCCACCCTCCCCCCCCGCCCAGTCTGGACGCCCCTGACCCTGACCCCTGCCCCTGCCCCTGCCCCTGACCCCTGACCCCTGCCCCTGCCCCCTCCCCTCACCCGCCCAGTCTCGACACGCCAGGTATGAGACACCGCTCACCGCTGTGTGGCCTTCCCGGCCCGCGGCCCCAGAGGTCTGCCGCGCCGCCCCTCCCCGCCATGCCGGGCGCAGGCTGCCCGCCCAGTTGGAGCCTGTCTCCCTTGGTGGCCCCGGGGCCCGACGGTGGTCGGCCCCTGGGGGCCGGAGGGGTCGAGGAAGCAGCGCCCGGATCAGATCGTGGGAGATCGGGCCCAGAGATTCCTCTTCCTCCTCCTCCTGGGCCTCCTCCTCCTCCTCCTCCTGGGCCTCCTCCTCCTCCTCCTCCTGCTCCTCCTGCTTCTCCTCCCCCTTTTCCCCCCTCCTCCTCCTCCTCCTCCGCCTCTCCGCCTCGCTCCCCCTCCTCCTCCTCTCCTCCTCCTCCTCCTCCTCCTCCTCCTCCTCCTCCTCTCCTCCTCCTCCTCCTCCTCCTCCTCCTCCCCCGTCCTCCTCCTCCTCCTCCTCCTCCGTCCTCCTCCTCCTCCTCCCCTCCCTCCTCCTCCTTCTCCTTCTCCTCCTCCTCCTCCTCCTCCTCCTCGTCATTCTCCGAAGTCGTGATTTTTTCAATGCGGGGTCCCCAGAGGTCTCGGCCCAGTGCCCAGGAGCGGCTGCTCATCCTGAGTCTTGTTTTTACGGTCCGAGGCCGAAAAATACGAAAAACCTCCGTCTTGATTTTTGTCCATGCGGTGGACCTTTGGGGGGCTGACGCGACCACATCGTGCAGGCGCGGTGGCGGATCGCGTGGTGCGAGACCCACCTCGTCCCGCGGCTGCAGGCGCTGCTGGAGCACGGCAACTACCTCTACCGCATCTCGGCCGTGCTGTGCGCCGGCCGGCTCGCGGAGGTGGCCGCCCGGGAGCTCTTGGAGAGGCACCTCGTGCCGCTGGTTGTGAAGTTGGCGGCCGACCCCGTGCCGAACGTCTGCTTCAACACGGCGAAGGTAGTCGGATAACCCAGACACCCTCGGGTCATGGCAGAACATCACGGCGGAGGGTTTTTCGCTATGTTCGGCCTCTGGGGGCCCTCCCTGGGCCTCGGTACCGTCAAGAACGACGCGGGATGAGAAACCGGTCCCGGGAAATGGGTCTGGACCTCTGGGGGTCGCGTCAGGGAAAGGTTATGGCGTCGGCGGTCTGGGAAGAAGGACTCAGAGGAGGACAAGGGACCAGTACCTTGGAGCGGGCTGGGGGTCTGAGGTGGCCCAGCACTGGTTGCGGCCAGCAGGAGGGTGGGACAGGTTCGAGGTTCTGGGTTCGATCGAGAAGGGCGTTTGCCTTTTCCAGCCTCTGGGGGCCGTTTCCGCGCCCCGGGACCTTGGGGAGGTCCGTGGACCGATGCTGACGGGATTTGGCCTCATCCCCGTCCCCGTCCCAACCAGTTCAGACCCCCCCGCCGCCTCCAGCTGATTCCGCTGCCGCTACCCTGCACTCGTCGCCACGGCTGGCGTCGCCTCGCAATTCTGGTCGTATAAGGCGTCCCTGGAGAGAGTGGCGCTATCGGCATTTGTCAGGCGGGGCTGGGACGAGGGCAAATCCTTTCCAGAGCGTTCCAGAACGCTCTCAGAGCGTTCTGGAACGCTCTGGGAAGGCCATGGCGCCCGAGATTTTCTTGATGCATCCTCAACCGATGTTAGCTTCGGTCCGTCCTGGCTTGGTCTTGCTTTCCGTTGGCCCCCTGAAGTGATGGCCCGAGCACAGACTTCTGGAGGTCCGCGCGCACTCGTCGGGTCCGCGCTGGGAGCCCCCGCGGCGCCGGGGGTGATGGAGAGGGGCCCAGCGCGGCCCATCGAACGCTTCTTCTTCTTCTTCTTCTTCTTCCGCAGTTGCTCTCTTTCTTGCGGGCATAGCCAGGAGGAATGTTCCCAGACATGATCGCGTCGTAAAACAAATCAGGACAGGAGGCTTTTGGCGAGCTTCGGCCCCGGGGGGCCCTCGCCAGGCCTCGGGACCGTCAACAAAAACGACTCAGGACGAAAAGGGACTTCCAGGGGAAAGGGTCGGGACTTCCAGGGACGCCATCCTGAAACAATCAGGACGTCGCATGTCTGGGAAGGTTGAGTCGGGCATGTCCCTCGACAGGAGGAATATTCAAGAGTAGTTTTTAAAAAGTCAGGTGACGATTTTTCCTGCGCTGATGCCTATGTTTG